CCATTTCAGGTACACTTGGTATAATTTTGGAACATGCACCAACTTTTGTCAAGAAAAAAATTTTCTGAGAAATCGATAATAAAAAAGGTTCCCATTTGTTGCAGACTTAGTGGACCACACTGTATTTTCAATCCAATTGACTTATTTTTTTTGAACCTATAGTCAGTGAGCATACTTGAAAACTGGCCATAAATCAAATCATCCAAAGGAACAATTCGCTCAAGTCAGGGAAGTAGTTGTTTTCTGATGAGTGTCAGTTCATTAACCTACAGTGTAGGGAATTGAGATTGGCCTGAACGAATTGTTCCTTTGGATGTTTTGACTTATTTTTGATAATAATTTTCATTTCATATCCCAAATGTTCCCCACAGAACTCTCTAAATTGATTCTTTATTCCTCATTGATTCGGAGATATTTTAAACCCGTTTAAACTTGTCAACATTCAATTAAATATTGATGATTCACTAAAAAAATTGTGAAATAGAAAAGTTTTCCTGATGAATTATCAAACAGAAAAAAATTACAAAGCGCTTCTGGCTATTTTTTCATAACCCCAGTATTCGAAATATCTGATTTGATTCTCAAAATTCAATGATGCTATGATTTAGCTATTTGTTTTTGCGGTTTCATTCTGATGTACGATGGTCTGAAAAGTTTCCCATCTCCTTTCAACTCCATACACTCCTCCCAACGATGATCTCATCTCTGTCACCCGTCCAAATAGTTAGGTTAGGTCAGGTTAGGTCCAAAGTGGAGTCGTACTCCATTCCTGAGTTATCAGTCACGTGTATGCAGCTTTGACAAATCTCACCAAGCATGTGTGAGAGGGTGCGTTGTCTTGGTGAAAACAGGATTTTTTTTCTGGTGCGTAGTATATAGAATCCAACTCATCTTCGATTTGTGTAGGCCTATTGCTTTCCAAAAACAAATATTCAAAGATAGTTCAATACTCGATTCTATCCATTTTCATAAAAACACTCACATCATCTTAATCAAACGATTGGTACATAACAACTGCGCGACCAAAATGGCAGAAACTTTGGTGAGTAACTGTCAACGGATGAACAACGAAATTCACTTTACGAGTGCTGCTATCTTCATGATGAGATCGGAAACTTTTCAGCCCACCCCCGTATGTACTCCTTTATAACAAAATCATAAGAACTTTTTTAAGCAGTGGAAATTTGAATCAAAAAATTGTATCTAGGTGAGTTGATTCGCTTTAGGTAAATACCCTATGTTTGCCGGCCTCTTTGGGGGTGAAGTGTATCCTATAGTGGAAGTTGTCCAACTTCTCCACGTGGCAATGAACCGATCGTTTATCGTGAACAATATCTGCCGAAACGTCCCCTGGAACTCCCACGGCTCTGCAATCCAAATCAATAGCGTGGGGGACTAGAGGAAGGGCCCCTTCGAAACCAGATGCGTGCACCCCGTCAGGATCGAATACTGAACAAGTAAATGGACCACCCTGCGATAAAAGGTAGTGATTATTTTCACGCAAACTGAAGGAGATATAAAATTAAACCACCAACCTGAATCTGTTTTCCCTGGTATGTTATCTCTATCCTCCACTCCCCAGCCTCATCGGGTTTGAAAGTGGCGCTGTTAGTTCCATCTACTACTGTTAGAGGACAGTTCAAGGGGCGACCAGTTGGGCTGTAAGCCGTTACCAAAATATCTTCCCTTCTCGGTGTACCTGCAGTAAAATTCTGATTATTATCTCAAGAAGAAATTTGTGAAACTCGAACTATATTATTATTCATGAACTTGACGAAAAATACTGTTATGTTGTTATGAATTGTGTGAAAAAGTTGAGAAGTCTGTGGTATGCTGTTGAGAGCTTTTTCTCCAGCCAAAGCCAATGAACTATTATCAACGACAATAGTTCTACCCAAAGTATATCTCCAGGTTGTTGTAATAACTGCCATTGTGATAGTTAAAAGATAAAGATAAAGATTGGGGTCGGGATATCGATATCGATATTTTTCCAACAGAGTAAGCGTTGAATTTAATTTATGATTGTTGATCTTTGGTGGCATCATGGATGTTATGTTTCGTTCAGGCTAGACTAAACAAACGTATCCTGTTGATGGGTTATAATACTAGGAATGAGAAAATGCAAGCTACGAGTTTGCATTTCAGCTTCGTGGATAGGAAGTTCGGCCATATCTGAATAGGTGGGCCAGAAAAATTATTCAAAATAAAAACTGACCTATGACTTCGATGAAAAGAGGATATAGGTCTTAGGTAGGAAGGGTTATGGAAAAATTCGGGAATATTAAACAGAGATCAGACCAATCAGGGGACGGTACAAGGGAGGAGTGTTAGAGATAGTTTTACGAAGTTGGGAATACTAATTAGACAGTTAATTGGGAGAGTGACGATCGGAGAGTTGCGGAAGAGGGTTGCGAAACGGTTACGAAAAGGAATTTTGCGAAAGGGGATTTGGCGATAGTAAAATCACGGTAAATTTCGGTTAGTGAGTTAATTGTTGTTTCCTTTGGTGACACTAAAAATGGATCAGTATTTCACACGGATACCGTACCAGAAAGGGAAACCAGAATCCAGTATAGTATCGTGAGTCAATTTGGATTTTTACTAACCCCTATGTCGGTTTAGAGAGAGAGAGGATGCCATTTTTATTTTGTAATAATTTGATTGCAACATGGGGATAATATAAGAAGGGTAATAAATTACACTATACCCCCTTTCATATGTGTAAATATCATAGCAGTACACACGGGTTTGAAGCTGAAAAATAGTATGGCGGCCAGGCAAGCTCAAATACTCACTTCAGAATTTCCGCAAAACTCGAATAGAGTAATTTAAGTTTTCATGTGAGTTGGAATTCTTTCTCCCTTATGAGAGAGTATATAAAATTTCACAAGTTAATAAAGAGATAATTTTTGTTTGAGAATCAGCTTTCTTATTAAATTTCGATCTTACCTTCCGAACATTTTTGCTTATTGCTTTTGTTTTACACTCATGTTTTATTTTTACACAGTTATTTGTTATGGTCTACAAACATACCCGTTTATTTTTTTTATTGATTTTGTAATATAAGCCTAATCTGAAGCTTCTAGTTGTTTTTCAATGGCTCACTATTCGAGCAAGTCCCATACCATTTCAGGGTAGTTAAAAGGCCTTTAGCCTTAAGTATTAGCCTCCTACCTCGTTCTGGAGTGAAACTCCAGACCGAACATTTAAGGCAATCAAAAGTGAAAACAAATATCAATCTTACCCGTGGCATTAACGAGAACTTGTACCAACGATCCTAGAGCACAGGGTGCCATTCCTGGAGGAGCAACTTCCACCAAAGGAGGTAGAACTCTAAAATAATGTCCAGTCAAAATTTCTTCTCCTTCATACTTGACAATCAACTCGTGCATTCCCACTTTGGAGGGGACGAATGATCCTCTACCATGATTTAGATTCTTACCGAGGTACACTTTATTGTCCGGGCCTCGTATTTCTGTTGTCACTTTTGAGTAAGAGAGGGAGGAGTCTAGCAGAGTGACTTGATAATGTGTCTGAAAACATTTAAATCTTCATTGAAATGAAGAAAACTGACAATAAATGATGAAACTTTATTGTTGATTGTCATTTGTAATTGCTTGTCTACATAACGTCAGTTATAATAAAATTCACTTTATGGATTTCCAATCGATTATGGTGTTCATTGAGAATGTGTAATTTATATAAGTCAAATAATGATATAAGATGTTCAAATCTGCAAAAACGCGAGAAGTCAAAGCCGAAAGGTAAGAAATAATGTAATTTGATGTCATCGTCAATGTCATCAATTTCTCTTGCGTTCGAAGAGACCGGTACCTAAACTTTTCGAGGTTCGAATGTAGACCGACCCACAGCTACAAGAAATCTGGTATTCCCCGGGTGTTGCTAAAGGTTCTTTGGGGTTCTTAGCTGACCTTAGACTTTGTCTGATAGTTTTTTTTGGCCCAAAAAAAAGAAGCTCTGTTGAGACCCATAGTGAGACCCATAGCGAGTAGCGGGTTCAGCTACATATTACTTGTCAAAACACCTAGCATCGCTCCTCCAGCCTCATGTTGGAAAAACAACCTCTTACGTCAACGATTCGACAGACTTTGTGGGAAAAATCAGGAGTATAACCTAGGAGACAAGTGATATTCTGGTCAGTTTCGACGTTGTTTCCTTGTTCACCAACGTCCCACTGGAAGATTCTTTGAGGGAGATAGCCCATCTGTTTCCTGCCTCACAGAAGTTACTTCCAATGGAAAGGAGATTTCTATGAGCAATTGGACGACGTAGCGATGGGAAGTTCACTCATCCCGGTGATAGCGAACTTCTTCATGAAGCAATTTGAGAAGAAGGCAAGTATCAACACCCTGGCGGAACGTGCCCCTAGAATATGTGAACCAGAGCACCTATGAGAGAAATTGGATCATCTTCAAGTGCCTTTGAGATCGACTGGATACAGTGTAACCGAGATCAACGAGGCCATGAAATTGAAGACTTATACAAGTCAAAATAGGGAGGAAACTCAAACGGTTGCACGTGAGTTTCTACCGTACATCCCTAGCGTTACAGATAGAATCGGGAAAATCCTAAGGAAGCATAACATGAAAACAGTGTTCAAGCCCACCAGGAAAATACAGCAAAGCATGAGATCTGTGAAAGACAAAAGAGTTCAACTCTCAGCTGCGGGGGTGTACCGTATACCATGCACCTGCGGAAAAGTTTATATCGGTACCACCAAAAGATCCATGGATACAAGGCTTGTACGGGAAGCCATAGAAATCCATAAACATACGGAAATCTATAACAGAAAAGAGGAGCCGGTAACGCTTTACCGGATTTGGACTCCCATACTAAAAGATGCTAAAGTGACAACAGCAATTTTACGTCATTATCAGGTAATAATACTTCGGCCAATAGCAAAGCTTCAACAAGAGAGGCGGACTACCTGGGTCAACATAAATACAACCTACTGTCGCCAAGACGGTACCTGGAGCTGTCCTGAAAAAGTACCCGGCTGGGCATGGAGTTGCGGAAGACCTTCTGCTCCTAGGCCGCTTGTCGCGTAAAGACCAGAGCCGGCGGGTGCTAGGCCACCGGAGGATCTATATTGGTTTACGTCCTCGCCTCCTGTGTTCGGTTCCGAATTCTGAACATCGCGCGTTCCCTGCATTATCGCGAAATCCAAGGGCAAGACCTTTCTTTAAAACAAAACCATTCGTCGTCCAATGCACGTTGCATATAGACGACACCGAGCTCCCAACCCATGGAAGATGAGAGGAAAGCCGTGTCATCGGCGTAAAGAGATATCTTCACACGCTCGGGTCTCGGAAGGTCACTGGTGTAAAGTGAGTACAACGTCGGAGAGAGCACGGCCCCCTGTGGCACTCCAGCAAGGATCTCTCTGTTGTCAGACAGAGATCCTTCTACTCTAATCTGAAATGTCCTGTCTTTCAGGAAGGACCCGATCCACCGGACGAGGCCCCGAGGTAGGTCGAACGCGTTTAGCTTGTGCAGAAGACCTTCGTGCCAAACACGGTCGAAGGGCCTTCGAGATGTCTAATAGGACGATATGTACTTTTTTATTTGAGTTCAACTCGCGGATGGTGTTTTCGACCAGCCTTAGAGCCTGTAACTCAGTGGAGTACTGTCCTTTTCCATCGCAACGCGCCTTATTTATATGTTTGCGGCGAGCGCGCGCAGGCTCCGCCTACCTGGCCCGCTGCCGTCTTTCGAATCCGATTTGCTTTTACAATTTATATACTCTATTTGCTTTTAAAGAATCTGGACATTGGTAACACTACGAACTAGAAATCACCAGTCATCGGTGAATCATCAAGATGGATAAACCTCTGAAGAAGCCAGCTACTCGTGCTGCCACTCCATTGTCAATTGAATTTTTGGGTCGAGAAATTTTATATATTTTCAAAGTAAAAATAATAATTACTAGCTGTTGCCCGCTCTTATATTAACGTACAGGCGAAGCTATTGAACCTAGAATAATTAAATATGCAGGTAGGTTCTTTGTATAGCATAAATAAGCATCAAAAAAGAGAATCAGGAATTTCCACCACCCAAGAGGAAAAAAAGAGCTTCAAATATTTTATTGAATTTCGTCAGTTTTGAAGTTAGAAACCTGAAGTTTTGGGTTAATAAAAAAATATAGTAACTTTGTTTTATTGTTTAAAATGGTCTGTCACGAAACTTAATGTGACAAACCAAATGATGTTCGAGTTTTGATCCGTGTTTTGTGTTATTATCCTCACTAGGATTGATCTCACAACGTTTCGACAAAGTCTCATTTGTCTTTTTCTGGTGATTTTTGTTGAGTGTTCGGAAAACGATCGACCTTACTCAATCCGCTCCCTGCTATATATGTAAAGCGATGTATGTTACGTGTTCGGCAGTGGACTGTCCTTACACGATCTGCTTCCTGAGATTTTCACACGTTTAAAGGCACATCTGACGAAGCTATTGTATAACGAAACACGTATTGCGTTTTTGTGAAACTGTTTAGTGGAAATCTCACTGTAAAATCTAGTTGTTTTTCTTACAAAGAGAAAGAACGAGACAAAAAAAAACGAATTCACATGCAGTAGTACTTTTCCATTATTTCTCTAGCCTATATTATTGATTCATTTCCATTTCGAATGAAAATGATTTGTTTTCTGCACAAATTCAAGTTCTCATTGCCGACTATTATGGTCTTGGTATGTTTGATATATCATTCTTTTTCGATATCTCACATTCAACATCTCTTTTCTATCAGATAACTGAGGTTTCAATATCTAACATTCAACAGTGCAGTTTTGGAGAATGGCATCAATATAAATGAATATTGCTTGAAATTTCAAAAAACTATTACGCGAAACTAGACTTTTTGATGTCTTTGAAAGTCGATATTGATAAAGTGGGGCATGATAATTAGGAACAGGGACAAATGTGTCATTTCAAACAGCCCAGTGTGTCTCTTTGAACTCCTAACCAAGAAATGATTGATGTATGACTGATGGTGAAATTCCAGCTTGTTCAATAAGACCAATAATTTAGGAATCAATATAGATCATATTGAGAAACACTCATTGAAAGATATACTCAGACCTATAATAGACCTAGATTGAATTTTCGCAGAGTGACACCAGTCCAGCCTCAACAATATATCAGTGGTATGAAAAGTAACTGTGCTGGATCTCACAGCATTTCATTGTGTTGAAGTATATTGAAAATTATCTTATCAACCACATAACACACATATTCAATTCCTCTATAGGAACAAATCATTTTTCTTCTGCATGGAAACATGCAATTGTACTCCCTTTGCCAAAATGTGAAAATCCAACTGAATTGTCTCATTTAAGGCCAATTAGCAAACTGCCTATCCTATCTAAGGTGTTCGGGCGGATTCTGAAACATCAAATTGATTATTTTATATATAATAATGATTTAATATCAAATTTTCAACCTGGATTCCGTACATTCTATATTCTATAGCAGTACCACCGCTCTTGTCAACATCACCCAAGATTTATTCAAAGTAACAGATAATGGAGTAACTGGCTTGGTACTCTTGGACTACAGTAAAGCATCCGATACATTAGACTACAATATTCTGTGTGGGTAAATGTCATTTCTCGGATTTAGTTCCAAGTTCGAGGAGTCAGGTTGGCTAAAACCTGGCAGTTCCACCTACTCGTCTATACACATAAATTCCTCATTTACAAAAAGCCAAATTATATTTATGAAAGATATAAAACTTTCAAATCTCAGAATAATTGGAGGACATGACACCGTCATACTTTTATTATTCCAAAACACCCGACATCCTGCTTTTCTCGTAGTTTTATTTACAACTCTATCAAACAATATAACGCTCTGCCCAGTGAATTTAGACACTAATCCATATATCATTTCAAGATAAAGTTGAAAACATATCTGAAGTCTTCTGGATTCATGTTACGCCTTGCTCATATGGTTTTCCCTTTGTCTCACTTTTGTGTGTGTTTTGCTATATATTATAGCTTAATATTTATTATTTGCTTTGCTTATTATTTGAGCTAAATAGATTTTTAATATTCACTTTGAAATTTATAACCTTTATTTTTTTCTTACTTTTACAAATATTCATGAACTACTCACCTACCAATGTATACTAGGTAATTATTTTTATATTTCTATATAATACATGCTATCCCCTAGATTCAGTTGCAAAACTTCGCCCTTTCATTGATTTTTGTATCTACTTCTTCTTTATAAATAAAGTATGTCAATGAACAAAGCCCATTTATTATTATTATTATATCCTGACGACCCTTACTCAGTTTTCTAATATTAATTCTGAGACAGAAGTTACAATTCTACTCTTCCCTACTGAAATAATGTTCATGGGAATGTTTTCCCAAAGTGGGCCATAAAAATATAACCTACTCAGTCGAAAGATTAAAACAAAATTACCGTAAGAGAGTTTTAGCACCATAACCGATTCCTCAACGAATTTCCGTAACGGTTACACATCGAGATAGTCATAAACTCTGCA